TAGTATTGTATTTTTTTAAATGTATTATTGCTCTTAAATCATATAAATCATTTTAAAATGTTAATTTAGTTTATGTAATTTATACTTTATTATTAAGTAAATATTTTTAATTCAAAAGGGTTAAGTTACTAATAGATTCTGATGGAAAAATCTAGTTACCTATTCAGAGAAATGTGATAAAAACGTGATTTCCTTGATTTCGGGTATATTTCATCAAGTGGTCACATTAAGAGGTTTATTACCAAGTAGAAGTGGCATATTTATAAATTTGTAGAAAAAAATATATTAAATTAATTTTAGTAGAGGTTAAAAAATTGTATTTTTAAGTTCAAGAATAAAAAATATTATATTTATGACTATATCTTACAATATTACAATAATATAATATGTATAGCATTATATAATTATAGTAGCTAATAACACTAGTATTATTATCAGAACAATTTTTCTTTTTAATTTCTTTTTTTTTTTACTAGGGGAAATATACCTACGGCAATATAGGCCATTGGATGTGAGATGGTACGGTAGGTGTTATTTTTGTGTAGGTTTTAAGTTGGAAGGTTGTATAACACGTATTTTTATATGTGTGGCAAGTATATGTTGCTAAATATCACGGATGGGTCCCCCGGGAGCTAGTGACTGCTCAGTGTATTTCCTCAGATTGAGCGTACGACCGCACCACACCAAGCCACTTAAATTTTTACAATAGTGGATTTAAATTATTATAAATTATACAATTTATCTGAAATTTAATTACACTGTATTGTAGAGATATTTTATTATGATTATTGTTAATATTGTTTGCCAAACAAACAAAATTATTGGTGTTATTTATTGTTTATGATTTGACCATAAAGCTCTAAATGACATGTATTAATAATGAGTAATTTATATTATTGACTTAATACTATTGTCAAATACTCATATTGTTATATGAGAATTAAGTAAAAATATTAACATGTGCAAAAATATATTAGTGCGATCTAGCTTAATTCATTTACTCATTATATTGTCTAGGTATATAATGTTGTCGTAAATTATGGGAAATATTTTTATTATATTAATGATATTTATTTGTTTATGTTATATTATTATCTTCATTAATTTAGTTGTGAAATCAGAATTAAAAAATATTCATCTTTTCAATAGATAGTAGAGTTAGTTCTCAATAAACTAATAAAAATAAACTATTTTACTAGTGTTAGATAATTTAAATAACTGCAATTATGTACCTAATAAGTATATTTTTCTCTGGATACTCAAATCAATCAATTTAATAATAAATAATTCTATGCATAGCTATAAAATTAATATTTACCTTATATTACCTAAATAATAAGCCTATTTTTGAGTTTAATTAGATAAAACACTACCTTATAAATTACTAGAAAATAACATTAGGTAGATACCTAGGTACTAAAAAAGTAAGAACCTTGGAGGCTTATTATAAAAAAAAAACTTTGTTTTGTAATATTTTAGTTCTCCTCTAAACATACACACGAGAAATTTAAATTAATACATTACTCGGTTCTACGAGTATTCACATCGATATATAGACATAAGGTATCGGTTTTCGAGCAAACGTAATTCGACGACGGCTGTGCATATTATTAATGATAGTTTGTACAATCGTGACCAAATTTCGAAAATAACATACGTACCTATAACTCTCTTGATTGTCCCGTTCAACCTGTGACCTGTGTAACCAATCAACTGGGCCCCCAAACTATGGCCGATTAATGTGACATCGTCAAGGCTCTGTACAATACCGCGGTCACGCAAACTGTTCAACCAGTCAAAAAGATAGGTACCAACTGCAGGTAATTGAAGTACCACATCCATGTAATCCAATTTCTGTGACCACTTTGACCAATCGACTAAAACCACATTGGAGTTTGTCCATTGCACCAGCGCTACATAAATAAATATATATTTTAGTGTACGTTTGTTTTTGCCGATTAATGTTAAAAAAAAATCATCACTAAACTCATTAATCACATATAGGTAGACACCTAGTACCTGACATTATATATTGTACTATTGTAACTCTGCACATTTTATTTTTAAAGCACTAAGTATATTATTAAAGTTCCAAAAAATATCGATTAATGGAAGTGTTGCGGGTTACTTAATACATGATACATAATATATTATATTATGTCATCGTGTAAATATGACTAAATTATTGGAATCCTGATATTATTAATTAATTATGTAGGTAACTACTAATCAATAATCATAGCATTTTGATCGATTAAAATACGTTTGTATGCAAGTAGGTATAAGAATTCGTTAAAAAGTAATAAGCATTTTATATTTGCCACATTTTTTTTTTGTCAATCGGTAATAAACCACTTATATTTTTCAAATAAATAGTCTTAAAAAAAAAAAAAAAACATAGATCAACGTGTTTATTTGTATATATTTCAATGTCAATTAATTTTAAAAATACATTTAGGTACTCTCATTAAACGCCTTGCCGTAAAAATTATAATTTTATTTTATAACATCATGTGACTAACACAATGTTTRATTATATATATTTTAACATAATTTGTCAAAATAAAAATAAATATAAAAATAGGTATACTCTAAAAATTATTTTATTGAAAAGTCCGGGAATTTTAATTATAATGCTTTTATTTCTGAAAATATTACAAGTTTATGACATAATAGGTAATAATCCACGACATTATTCATAAAACCCATTCTTGTTCGTTATTAAAACTATAAACACTCATTTTTCTGATTATAATGGTAGTTATATATTTCTCAGAAATTAACTATTAATATGATATGACGCATAAGTTTAAGAGAATTCAAGGAACTCAGTATTAATAATAATAATAATAATAATAATAATAATAATAATAATAATAAAATTTAACCGACAACAAAATTACAAAATACATAAAATGAGTAAAAATATAGTAACGATGTAACATAGAGCGCCGTTGACGGAAAAGATACCTCCTAAGTGTTAAATTTATGGTTTTGAGGTTTTGATATCTCTGAATTCAGAAAAGAAAAAAACTATTTATGGATAAAATCTCCTATGTTAGGCTATTTGTATCTCAAAATCAATGAAAAATGATAAATGATTTCTGTTGTGAGATAGCTAGTGTTACTTACAATAAATCATTTAGGAAATACCTCTTATGCATGCTATTCCCATTGTAGAAAAATCCACCAATGTGTTTTACCAACTATAAATCGTATTTGAAACAATACATATTATATGATTTATTTTGTTTAAAAAGCTTTTTATGTTTCCTGAAAACTACGCTTTTTTTCCATAGAAGGTTTAATCCCGTCAACGACGATAGGCAAGAATTTCTTTATTTTTTTTAACCGATATTGAGGGAATCGTAAAATGTTTGCAACCTGCAAAGATAATGATTATTATTTCACCTTTCTYGTTTGATTGTAAATAGTGAATATATATTTCACAACACGAATGTCGAACTCATATCCAAAGGTGAAATTGTGTGTCAAGTATGTGTTCAGCATATATTGTGCATAACATATATAATATTATAATGTATTATGAAGGTAGATACTCCAGTATTGAAATTGTGGATACATATTCAACCACAAAGTTTTATTCGACCTTCATATTAGCGACAAGTGCAGTTACTACAAAAAGTTAGGTGTCGTGGAAATTATGTTTCGTATCTTTTGCAATATCGATCTGATTAAAAAAAAAAAGAAAAAAATCTACTATAATTAATATATACGTATCATATAGTATATTACTCATAAACGTACGCTTATTTAGTTTTAAAATTGATGAGATGTTTTACTAATAAGTATATTATGATTTTAATCATTTCTTTTGATTGRTAGCTATTCATAAACTTAAGAACAATATACTATATCACTGTAAAATGTTATAGGTAAAATATCTAAAATATTTTCTGTACCTAGTCTTATCGATAGAACAATAAACTCATTATTATATTACCCGCGATTTAAAATCAAATAATATTGAGTTAGATTTATAAGTATCTGCGAATTATTTCAGTTAACAACTGTCAATTATTTAAACACGTCATATTATTATATTAGGTATACAAAAAARTTCTAAATTAAATTTTTACTGCTTTAAATCTTCCCGAAAACAGACACCAAATATTTTAATTATTAACAATACTGCAGCATAATAATCACATTTTTTACAATTTAATAGGCACTGCAGTTGTCATCAGGTCTCAGGAAGGTATTTTACGTGTACTATACAATCATACAGTTATGACTTTATACTTGGCACATCCATTTCACTCGATAATAAAAGATAACAAGAAAAGTTCGATTTACGTTCACATTTTTTCACATTGCACATTGGTAAATCTATTATACCATCGAATTCTTAAAATGTTGTAAAAAAAAGAACAGTAATCGAAAACCATACACGAAAACAAAATATTTTTTTGTTTTCTGTTGAGTCAGCAGATGGACATYAAAAAAATTGTCTGAATACAGAAGTAGAAAAAGCGATTAAAGGTGGTGAAGTTTTGTACTGATATGAATAGTTAATAGTTTTCTTAATCACAGTGTGAATTGTTGTGGTAATATTTATTTTAGAATTTAAACAATAAATTCAAAAATAAAACAATGACTTACATTTTCCCAAATCTGCTACAACACCAGTCTGGGGACTTGATCTAAATCCATGCACAAATACAATCAACGATTTGTTGTTTGAAATTGTTAAGTTCTTTTCGTCCATCAATTGATAGCTATAACAGTAATTCATATTACATATCGTAAGATCGCATTAATATCAATAAAATTCATATTATCTATACAGTAACCACAATAATAATAATAACAACAAAATAATATAGTTTATCCATAAAGTATTAGCTTTTTATCGATATGTTTCAAGTAATAGATGAGATCTTCCACACAGTTATAAAATAGTTCTAATTCTATCAGAAAATGTATTATCTTGTGTAAAACATAAAATATCAAATCGCCATGTTTCTAAGGAATATAATGGGACGATTTGTGTGAAAAGGGGTTCAAAGTCAGTTTTCAAAAACTTTATATTATACTTTTGTTGTGTGAACCATTTTACGCCAGATTGACTGGTGGCATTGAAGTTTGTCTACCTCAATAGATAATATTATTAAGAATGCAGACAATGTATAGATCTTTCTTATAATGTCTCTATATCGTAGCCAAATATCAGTGCCACAATTGATTCGAAGTAAAACTATTAACAAAAAAAGTGTAATATAAAATTTTTAAAACTGATTTGAGCGTTTTTTTTTTTTACAAACACCGCCATTTATTATATTATGTTTACCACCGATAATTTAATTCAATATTATACAATTACTAATCGGATTCGGATACTCAAAATTACAGAGTTATAACGACAACACAAATCTAAACAAATTTCTTATATAGCTTTCGTATATTAATATATAGTAACATTGTTTTATTTTTAATCATTACTTGTGGTCATAAAAATAGTATTTAACTCCGGTGGCATTGATAGTAGTGTTGGTAGTGGGTTCAGCGGTAGTTAATTGGTCTGCAAACGATACACAGGTTGTAAATTAAACGATAACAATAATAATATAAGACGCTTATTCGCTCATATTCGAACACAGAAACGAGTACTATAATATAGATTATAAGATAAACGAAATTACAGGATAAAAACTGGAGCACGATCGGAATGCACAAGAAGTGCAACAGTCGTTGAATCATAGTGGTGGCTCCAGAAATATAACAGTCGGCAGGTAGCGACTGGCGAGTAAAATATGTTCTGGACAGACTTTTATTATTATTATTAATAGCTTCTTTAACATAAACTCCGTACACAATAATTATTAAAATTTTGTAAATTATGACGGCGTACAGTAACTAACTACGGCGTGGCGACACAGCATGTAATATTATTGTATGTGAGCCTAGGTTCAACAGCGCTTATTATACAATATTTATTCTCCCCTCTGGTCCAACTGRCGATAACATCACATAATATTGTCGGGTGACAGTTTCACTGGATCGGCGACCGTCGTTCAAATTATGACAAAATATATAAGAATCATTACGCATCCCCCGTTCTTTACATCATCAATATCGAAGTTCTTCATTTCTTGTTGGTTGTCAATCATATATTATATACATAATATATATCATAGAAAATTGTGTGGCCTTTGACAAAGAAAATKATACATATTTCATTTCAGACAAAAAGAGGTAGGTGTTTCTAAACATTTTTATTTTTAAGCGTAGATGGTTTATTTAAGAAGAAACGTAGTTTAAAAGTCTCCCCTGTGATATAATTATTATATTATTATAATAAAGTAATATAGAACAGACGACGCTGTTTTAGAATATTATTCCGTTTGATGTCCATAGTATAAAATTACTTGAAAATGTACCTAACAAATCAAATTTTTTTAAATTATAATACTATGTTACAGATTGTAAATTTATTTATATTATAAAATAAAAAAATAAAATTATAATACACATAGGTATACCTACCAAACACCCACCCATCACCAGTTATCACGGTCATCGTTGGAAAATTACTGATATATTATTATTATAATTATTACAACCGTTACAATTGTACCGGCCGATAAACGACAGCGATATAATACAACAATAGTACACTCATTGTACACTATATACWTAGGTTCATTGTATGTAATAATATAATTATTATGGTTTATAATGATATTTGGATGTGGCGTGGTAAAAATATTATAATTATTATTGTTGTTTTTATCATATTATATAGGTTAGGTTAGGTTATTTTTTTATAATTCACTTTGCTTAATATGCATGTATAATAATATATACCATGACTGATCCCGACGGGAAATCGTTTTTCTCCGTACAAAAAAGGTTGAATTTTTAGCGAAAAAATTACATTCAAACTTACTGTGGCGTATAATATATTTTTGCCGTGAATTCATAAATATTAATAAAAACAAACAAAAATAAATAAAACGTAACATACATTCAGCCTACTTTGCTAGGATTTATACTTACTGTTTATTGTTTTATATACATGCTATTAGTTCAAGTAATAATTAAAGACACGTTTACTTTGTATGTATATACAAAGTAAACAATGTTATTTATAAAATTAACACTCTATTTTACTCCAACTATTAACGAATATATTATATCGTTTACATTGTTTAACAATCAAATTTTAAATAATATGAAACACGAGGATTTTGTGTGATAAAAAAATGTGTTTGGCTGGTATTTATGCATCAATAAATCAGTGAAGTTGACGAACTTTTTATGATAATAGAATATATTGGTCAAGTATTATTAAAACGAATTGGAAATAATATTGTATCACTGTGATTCACTCCAAATGTCTTCAATCCCCATATATTCGTAATAATATAACGTGCGCCTACGTATTCATTTTTCAAAAAAAAAAAAAAAATAGAATGTAGGTATACTTATAGATATTTACTGATGAAAAGTAGAGTGTAATTGATATTTTATTCAAACACAATTAAACTTAAGATAATCCAATCTGATTGTTTAAACGTTTTCAAAACTACAGTCCATTCGTTTTTATGCGTTTTTCATACCTATATGGTCAAATCCATTCGCAACTGTAAATACTACATTAAACAGTAAGTACTTTGTTAATGACCAAAATAACTATTCACATAGTTAAACATTTTTTTATTTGCAAAACGTGAGATACTCATTTGTTTTTTTTTTTGCACAATATATGCGCCTAATGTAACCTTTATTTATCGTTGATCTGGCTGTATTATGATAATATTACAATAATTCTGAAATTTTTCATTAAATCATAAATACTTTTAATACATATTATATACTAGTAATAATAATATACTTTTTATTAGACATTGTATTGCCTTTTCATACAATAATAATAATTACGCAAATTAAATGACTTGTTTTTAATTCACTTTAAAAATAAATTTAAATGTATTTAAGCTCTTAAGTTGTTTCGTTTAAATTTTTAATAATATTAAAAAATGCTTTGATGCATTTTTTTTCCAGTAACTATTTAAGCAATTTAACCTTTCGAATTCGGTATTTCAAAGCGTATACATATAATATAATATAGACATACACATACCTAATTTTATGAATTAAATTTAAAGGTTTAATTATATTGTTAAAAACAAAAAAAACTCCCTTATCACAGTAAAATATTTGTAATTTAAAATAGTATGAAATTTTTTTGAAATACATTTAAGCAAAATGTAATTTTATAAATCTTAAGGTATGACATTAATTATCAATTTACAGGATTCGTTAGGAATCGACACAGGAGTATACTTAATAATTAATAATTAATGTTACTAAAACCTATTATAATTTTTAATAAAAACATATTTGCGAAAACGATACTACCTATATAATATATTAATCTATGTATATGATTTGTGAAACCAATGATAGTTTAGGTTGATTGTGGGATTCATTGATATCCGAGCATCAGTAGTTTCCGCCAAAAATCTTGATTTTCGTTTCCGCCATGTATAGTTTCCTCCAAACCAAATAAAGTTCGATTTTTGTTACTGCCAAATATATTTCTACCTACCAGTATATAGATAATAGTTTGAGAACCATTTAGAGTTACCCTATGGCCACCACGAGGAGATGGTTCTCATTGGCCTCTAAAAATTGATATTGTTTAAATTTCCTGGTTAAATTTCAAAATAATTGAATTTGAATTAAATTAAGTTGATCATAATTAAATGTATATATTTAATAAATTTACTGTCAAATATTTCTGACAATTTTAAAAATGATTAAAATATWATTATTATTATTTCGAATAATTTTGCATTCCTTTTTTTAAGATTTAATTTGAATAACCTAACCTAATTATAACCACCCCGATTTCCATGTCTACATTTTCGTAAGTTTTCAACCTAGGGTCAAATTTTTGAAATCTTGAAAAACTTTGTCACATGTGATTAAGGTGAAATTTACCTGTAGTCRTTAAAGTAAAATGTAATATATTGAATCAGTCTGCTCATGCATGTGTTTGCTTCTTTTCGAAAAAAAAAACTGAAGACCGGGTGACGAGAAATAAAGTGAACCAACTGCAATAAAGAATGTACACAAAATTCCGTTTTTACGATTTTGATATGTGTCATAATTATTTATGTTGTTCAAACATCTAAGCATGAAATAAAATATCGAATTTTCCAACGAATCAATTTACTGAAATCAACTATATCTATGTTTATTTTCTCACCCCCGTAGCTAAATCAACTATTGAGCATATTCGAATAATTAATTTATAAAAAATTTTTTTTCGTTGGTAAAAGTTTTTAGTAAGTCGTTACTTAACGTGACATGGACGCATCTTTTGTTTTTGCGCATATCCAATTATTCACACAATGAAATTAATATAATTATATAAACCTTACGATACCTTTTTTTTTTTCAGATACAGTCATAGATATGTCCATATTATCTTTTAACTATTTTCATTCTGAGGAAATAAATGCAAAAATTAATGAACAGCAATTAAATGGTAAATCAGATTTATCTATAGTTGTTTATTTTTTTTAATAATAATTATAACATCGTATAGACTATAAGCCATAACATCTTAGACATACGTTGGTCGTTGGTACTTAACCAAAATTTCAATTGTCGGTCCGATATATAGATAGAATTAATTTCAAACGAAAATTATTATATTTTTTTATTTTATTTATAACTATCAAAAATACGCAGATTAAAAAAAAATGTTGTTATTTCATAATAAATTCGATTTAATGTCCGAAATCCAAAGATTTAAGATCTTAATAAATTATTCCAATTAATACAGATAGAATTTTTAATATTTGAAAATACAAATACAAAGTCAATCAATTTATAATAAAAKAAATTGAACAAATAATGAATTAGTAAACTATAAAAATCCTCATTGACAATTCAAATAAATATTTAAATTTACTTACAAAAGTATTTTCATACGATAAATTTTAAAATTAATTAAGTACGGAATTATTTGGGATACTTGGGATTGGGACACGTGAAAGAAGGGCTCATTTAAGGGATGGTTACAGTAATTTTTCTTTTTTTTCCCGGGAAACCCTACCATCAATGTTCCTCACAGATGAGATCGGTGTTTTTCTTCTCATTTCTTCTTAGAATGATGGCCAGGCCTTTTTTTTTTTAAACGTGACGTTTTGAGAAAATATAATTTTATTATTATTAATTTGCAGGAGCGCTGTCAGACACGCGTTAATTAAGCGTTAAGCTTTGGGGAAGCCCATTTATTATTAAATAAAAGGCATTTTATAAAAAAATAAAATAAAAAATGTTTCTTTTTTTAAATATTACCGGAAGTTTATTCTTTATATGTATTTCAATATATATATAATATATTATATATGTATTTGAAGAAGATGACTCTAACACATAATTTTAAAATAAAATCACGATACTTTAAATTTACTATTTTAGAGTACAGTAAAATATTATGCAAAGACCCGATAACTATTTAACATTGGAATTCACGATTAACTGTATTATATAGTGAATATTTTAAATTAAAAACCTGTTATATTTGCCATTACATRCTAATGGTTTATGCATATTTTTATCTATAATAACTATTGATGATTTGTTATCAAAAATATAAAACATATTTCATTTTATTGAACTATTAATTTCATATAATATTAAATTCAAGAAAAGGTGAGTCATTTAATTTTAAGTGAGTTTTTTAGTTGTATTTTAAAATAGGTAACTAATAAAAATTCAATAAATTATCCTAATTTTTTTTAGCTCRTTATATATCTATGACAGAGGTGGCCACTAACCTTAACTTTGGGAGCYGCAAATTTATAAAGTTAATTYGAGGTGAGCCACACATTGTAAAACAATGTTTATAAATTAAAGATACATTTTTCATTTTAAAACAAATGAAGGAACATTTATTTACATTTAATTTTAGTCTAAGTTTGGTTCAAGAGCCTCACGAAATTTATTTAAGAACCGCATGCGGTTCGCGAGCCTCGTTGTGGCCACCCCTGATCTATAATCTTTTGACTATGTACCGTTTTGATTTATTCGGTTATTAAATTGAAAATTAAAAATTAATTTAATTTAAGTTTAAGACARTATTAAAACTAGTTTTAAGGGTTATTATTACCACTGTCTGATGTATAGGTCAGAGGTATTCAAACTTTTTCATTCCACGGCTCTTTTGGGTGTTCACAATATTTTGACGGCACTCAAATTATTATGAAAATATTGAAATAACACACGGATACAATATGACTAATATGTAATATGAATGATAATAACAGTGACTTTAGTGCTATAGAAATAAAACTTAAAATGGTCGCGCAGTAAGGTGTGTCGTTTTCATTTCCATAATGATTGCAAATAATATTTATAATAATATTGTACAATACCAAGGTATGATGCCGTTTTACGGTGCTTTGACGCGGCTCCTTTTGCAAACTCTCGCGRCGTCCCTGGGAGTCGCGACGCACAGTTTGAATACGTCTTGTATAATAGGTAAATGAAATAAATAAA